CTTAAATAAGACTTATTACGGTGATTATTTCCCTTTAGTCACATGGCGAGGTGTTAATTAATAAAATTAATTGTTTTGTTTAAAAAAAAATTCCAAAATCCAAAATTATGCAAATGTCCAGAATTACGCAAAAAAAACGCGGGCCGCAAAATCCTACGGTGACAGAATATAGGGTCGCCATCGGCATATAATGGATAGGTCGGCTGCTGCCCTCGGGCCGACACTACACTCTATGGAGAGGCCAACTTGGGGCCGACATGCAAAAGTAGGGGCAAATGAGTTCCAGCCGCCTGCAGCAGCAAAAGCTGGCCTAGAGCGGACATTATCGTTGTCCTACATCGAGAAGATTTCTGGCCGCCGTTTTCATGCGGGCTGGGGTCTATTTGCGTGCACCAATTTAAAACATTTTTTGCTATTCGCACACAATTGCCGGCCCCAACACATTTTTTTGCTATGTATGCACGCAATTGTGTGCAAGGTATCATACTTTGCTATGCACGAAATTCCCTTAAATTCCCTTCTTTAAGTATTGCCCCTCAGAATAATGTTTCCCCTATTCTGTCCGGCGCCTAAACGTAAGGCAAGGCAAGAGGATAAGAAGTCTTCACTCTGCACCTGTTCTTGAGATTTAAGATTTTATCTGAAACATTCTTAATGCAGCCTGTACATTCTTTTAATTTTCAGACTTTTCGGATTCTTCAGATTATCAGCTGAACTGCCTCAGAAACACAGAAAAAGTGAGGTTTCATAGCAACATAATAATGGATATCAGGTCCCTCCTTCCAGTTCGGTACAATGGTACAGTCCGAACTTGACACTGTGCGTAAAGACCTCAACATGTCTATACTATAACAATCATTGCGTGCGTATAGCATAGCAAACTATGATACTTTGCGCATGCGTGTAAAGTTTGAATTTCTGTGCACGCAATTAAAAATAGGTAGGGTCAATTGCCATCGAGTGGCGCGGTGACAGTTGACACCAGCGTCAATTGCCACCGAGTAAATTAAAGCGTGAGTGAGTAGATTATGTGCGCTCGGTGTTCTGCGTTCTTGAACTTCCGCTTACGCACTAGGCCTACGCCTCTCTGTCCCTCTGTGGTGCCTCTCTCTCTCCCTAACCCCCGTCCCAAGGATTTATGTTCCCCGATATATATAAGCGTATTTCTGCTTGAGTTTGAGTGCGTTTTGGCCTACTTCTAGAATCGCCTGTGTTGGTTCTACACCGAAGCGTAGGCTAGCCTACATCTCATTCAAAATATGCCAAGTTGAAGTTGGTAGCTCTATATATAGATTCGTCTAAAGAAATTAGAGAACAAATTGACTCACTTAAATGCGAGGAGCTCGAAAGGAGAACCAGGGAAAAAAACTTCCATTTCACTGTACACAAAATCTTTCATGAACTTGAATTTATGCAAAATGATTACCTGATAACAATAAGTTTATAGACAGTTTTGAATACCATTGTTTGTGTAGATAAAAAGTAGAATTTGAGTACAAAACATTCAGAAATTGACCTGCTATTTCCTTTCCAACCCAGGAATAGGTGCAACTCCTCATATATATATGACTTATCAACTAGATCTAAGGAGAGGGGGTTAAATCTAACTTATTCATGTCATGTGTTCGTAACACATTATGAATAGAAAGCTAAAGATAGAGCGTCATTTTCAGACTTGACACCGCTTCACTCGGTGGCAATTGACGCTGGTGTCAATATTGCCACTGCATCACTCGGTGGCAATTGACGCTATCCTAAAAATATTATAATAGGCCTAAGCTACAATAACTGCCACATGATGCAATGAAAATGAAAGAGTCTTCTCCCCCACCCACTACTAGATCTAGATCGAAGCCAGTAATATTTTTCTGCTTTGTGTATTAAAAATTTATTTTGGCCGGATTGAACTTTGGTGGACCCACTACCGTGTTTAGTTTAGTAGGTGTGTATTATTAGTAGCAATGACCACGGAAAACCTTTTTTGTCAGAAAGTGTTTGCAAATAGGTGCATTTTGTAGCTGTATCTCCACAGAGAATGGAACATTTAGAATTTTTGAAATCCATCAATAAACAAAAAAGTTACGAATTTTTTAATCAATTAATTTTTGATAAACTTTTATAAAAATGAAAAAACCCCAAAATATGGGACGTTCCTTGGTGAGTTTTGAGACAATATTCGTCATAACTCACTCATTTCTCAGAGTATTTAAATGAAACTTGGCAGCCCAGTACATTTGCTAGTGCAGAATCTAGTCCTGCTTTCAGATTTCTCATAGCTATCCTACTTTTTGAGTTATACATGAAGACGTTTATTGGTAAAAACGTGGCGGTTTTCAGTGTTTTGAGACAATATTTGTCATAGCTCGCCTATTTCTTGGAGTATGTAAATGAAACTTGGCAGTCTAGTACAGTTTTTAATGCAAAATCTAGTCATGCTGTCAGATTTTTAATATCTATCCCACTTTTTGAGTTGTAAAGACATTTACAGGTAAAAAAAGTGGCGTTCTTTACAGATTTACAAAGATTATCAGTCATATCTTCTCCCAAAGCCATGATATTTGAATGAAACGTGGCAACGTAAAAGATTCCTCCTTGCTAAGCAATGCACTGGATGGATTTCTTATAAATCCAGTTCTCTACTAGTAAAAGCATGCACACTTTTGTAATAGAAAATAAGATAGTCTCTGTATATATCCATTGTTGGACAGTGTCCTATTTTGTGGTAGATTAAGATGCGTTTCGATAATATTATTATAGTTTACAAGTCCTGGAATATTTCGCATGTGTAGGCTACAACTCATACTATAAATGTAACAGATATTTACAC